AAGAGTTAATGATCAGAGTATTTAAATAGGTAACTCACAGGTGGGTTGCAGGTATAGCAGCATAGTATAGAACCAACAGATGGTTGATCATCTGTATGGCAGACTACTTAAATTAGACAATAACTAAAGTTGTATGTGTAGCTTGTTATACACTCATCATGTAACTGTAAAACCTTAGGAAACTGTTTATGTAATAGTTTCATAATAACAAACTAATAAAATCTAATCGGCCAAAGAAGTGACCTTAATAACTAAAAAAAAAATTTATAAATTACAATAATTTTCTAATACTGATAATGAAGTTATAGACTACTCACTAAGTAAAAAATACATCTGATAATATTGTTATATACATTGCTAAATAGTAGAATAATGCTGTCCAACCAAACATGATTCTAATAGATTTCTACCTGGAATTTTAAAGACAACCCTGTATGATTTATAAAAAATATTGATTGCTTATTGTTTTTGCCCAAAATATTGAATTATATCTAAATCGATATTTTCCATAGTCTCTAATCTGAGGCACAACATATATTTAATAAAAATAACCTTTTGATTTTATTTCTATCCTTTTTTATTAATTTTTATTATTTAATATAAGTTTTGTTACCTTTTAATTGTTTCACTTTTATCAGTTTCACCAACCTTTACTAGTTTTGACACCTTTTAGCAGTTTCGCCACCTTTTGTTAGTTTTATCTGTTTCATCAGTTTCACTGTTTTGCCATTTCAAAATTTTTTTGATGAAAGACGAAACTAGATTTCACCTTTCGTCATGCTGAAACCTCTTAGGTTTCGTCTAACAACTATAGCTCTGAATTTGGTCCAAATGATCTATAGAGAGAATGTGTTGTTTGTTGATTAATTAATAATTAATTTAATGAGGATTCTTTTATTACTTTATATACTATATAACGAGAATAAATATTTACTATCACGAGAAACACGAGGCCCAGATAGAGATTTCAAGCAATCAATAATTTTTTTGTAAATCTTATTAATATAAATAAAGTTCTAAAAATATTATCTTATTAAATTTAACTGTATTACTGTTTATGACGGTCTAACATTAATACGTATAAATTTCTCAATACATAATATTATAAGTTTATATAATATTATAGTATTATAAAAATATAGCAAATTATAGTCTAATACTGTAGTTATCTTTTATCAAAGTTTTAAAAAATATAAAAAATAATCAATTATTATAAAACGCACCTATGATGTTTTGCACCTATTATATGTTTTTATTATGTTTTTTAAATTTCTAAGTTTTTATAAGTTTTATTATAGAAATTTTTGACTTAAATTTTTTCATCTTAGGGTTAGTTTTTAAGTTAATATTAGGGTTTGGGAAGGGTTTTCAGGGGCGTAAAACATTTTTACTTAGAATACCTCGTACTGATTAATTAGCCAATTTTTGAGATAATGCATGTATAGGTGTAAAACACCATAGGTACGTTTTAGTAAAATTCAAAATAATAAACTAAACAGTAATATTTAATTTTCACCAACTATTACTAAACTTATATCCATGTATAATTACTTTGATGAACATGCGCGAATGATTCATTTCTCTGTCTTTCTCAATATAATATTCTGCTTCATCAGTACATTTACCCATAAGTATAACCTCTTTTAATTTGGGATGTTTTTCTAATTGTAAAATATGCTCTCTATTTAATTTTACGGGCGGAATAATAAATAGTTTTTCAAGGTTTGTGAAAGAATGGATTAATTGGACAAACTCCTAAAATAAAATAAAAAACAGAAGGTACATTAAATATTAGTTTTAATATTAATAAATATGAATAACACGAATAACATGCTTACATTAGGTGACAAGTCAGAAATATTACAACAAATCATTAATTTTCTAAGTCGAAAACATTTCTTGGAAAGTTTTTCAAGCAACATTCTATCAATATTATCATAATTTTTTTGCAA